AAAGCAGCCCTAAAGACACACGATGGAAGAACCCGTTCAAGACTACCCACCAGATCAACATCTCATAGGAAGGAAGATCAAAATCAAAGGAAGTCCGCATTCGAGAGACTTAGACCAAGTGGAAGTCACAACAGAGAAAGTAGAAGGGACCACAGTCAAAACTACCGAGCCGAACAACCAAGGCAGATCAGAAGCGAAGCACCCATTCGGACTGCCCCGTAGAACTACTCTCACCAAAACAACAGTTGGTTGGAAGGAGGTGCCAAATCAGAGTACAGAGAAGCCGGAACGCATGATAGATTCCCCTGTTTTGTAAGCAGACTCGCTTCAATACGATTACCTCACAAGTTCAAGCCGTCCAACCACTCTAAATATGATGGCAAGACCGAACCAAGGCAGTGGCTCAGAATCTACTCACAATCGATTGAACTCACTGGGGGGGACGATATCAAGACCCTGTTCTTTCCCATGGCCCTGGAGACCATGCCTCTTCAATGGTTCGACAAATTGAACCCAGGATCAATCAGAAATTGGGAGGACTTGCAAAGAGTTTTTTGTCAAAATTTTGCAGGTATCATTACGCACCCAATCACCCACGCAGAATTAAAGGGACTCAAGCAGAAAGGGGGCAAAAGTCTCAGAGATTACTATCGACGATTTGGTGAATTATGCGCCCAAGTACATGACATTACCGAACGAGAAGTAATCGAAGCTTTCTCTCACGGAATCATGGCTAGGTGGCAATTACAAGATCATTAGAAGAAAGTGCAGTAACCTGAATGACCGAGCCCTCCGGCAGCTCTCTGAGCTTACCCTGCAAACGCACTATAGACTGGCCATAGGGAATCAAACCCCACTTGTGCTGCCAGTCAATCCGCATCGGGCTATGGGTAGCCAGCCAGTCCATACCAATTATCATGTCGTATGAGGGCATTGGAAGAGCCAAGAAAGCTGAAGTGAACTGGCAGTGATCAACTTCCCAAGACAGAGCACTGAAAGATTGTGGGCACTCAACTATACTGCCATCAGCAATGCGAACTTTTGGTGGATTGGCCAGAGATGTAGCACCTGTCAACTTACTGGCTAGAGTCATGCTAACAAATGAGCAAGAGTTGCCTGAGTCCACCAAAATCTGAATTGGAATGCCCTGGACGCTGCCTTCAAACTGAATAGATCGAACTGGTGTTGGTGCAGCGACTGTGGTCAATACTTGAACAGCAAAAACCTGAGTACAATCATCTTTAGTGGCTGCCTCCTCACAGCACTCGGATTCTTCACTGTTGCACATGTCCCAGAATTCCTGCAGTGCGTGCAACTGAAGAGCTACGGGGCACTTATGGTTGCGAGACCATTTTCTCCGCAACGAATGCAGAGGCCACGGGCGCGTCGATAGGAGCAAAGAGTGTTCAGCTTGTCCTCGATGCCCCGAGGACGATGATCCTCCCCGGCCGTGCCACCAACAGGGACACGCCCACCGCGGACAGGAACCGGCGCCTGCTGCAGCATGGGCACGGCCTTGGATGGTAATTTCCATCTGCTCGGATTCACCAGTTCCTCCTGCAACAAGGCAAGAACACAGGCAACATCCACGGTAGAAGGTCGTTGCATATGAACAGCAGAACGTATATCATCACGCTACCCATCAACGAAACGCAATGCATAAAACAAAGGATCTGTGGTTTTGCCATAAGCTATGAGCTGATCAACTAACGGTCAGCATATTCCTGAACAGCCCCGGACTGACGAATGTGAAATAACTATCGAATCAACAACTCATATTGATCCCGACCAAAACGATCAAGGACCACCTGACAGACACGGCTCCAGTCATTTGCATCGTGGCCACACGAATCCATTGACTTGGCTCAACAAAATACATGTCGAAATAATCATCACAACGACTAAGCCACAGCTTTGGATCCTCCCCATCAAAAACTGGAAAATCCATCTTAGGTAATTTACTACTAGAGTACTACGCCCCCCAATGCGCGCGATGCTCATGCGGTGCGCCACCAGCACCATGAAACTCCTGATCCCCCAAATCCAGCGCCGAGCTAGAAAGCGACTTATGAAGAACATACTGATGGGTGGTTGGGGAAGGATCTCGATGAACTTACCCTTGACCGAGGGTTGAGCCATGGGCTCGGACCCCCGGTGGTGATGTGCAGCGCTGTGCCCAACAAATGGGCCGATGGCCGGGTGCCCGGCAGATGATGTCGCCGCGGCCACCACGGGATGAGGCTTGAGGACCCCAGCGGATGCTAAAGGATCCGAGTCGAGCACCACACGACTCATGGTTTTGCGGACCGCGGTCATCTCTTCGCGCATCTGCTCCACCACGGCGTCGGACTTGCGGGCCGCGCCCAACTCCGCGCGCAGCTCCGCCACCGACGCGTCCACCTTGGGCTTCCATTCGTCGAACACCTTAGCGGCATCCTCCAAGCGATTGAACCGGTCCGCGATGGAGTGCTCCATGGCCCCGATCCGCTTGCCCAGCAACGCCTCCACCTCTCCGATTCGGCCGCCGAGAGACGACTCGAGGGAGGTCTTCACAGATTTGAGCTCATCGAGAAGAACCTTGGTATTGGGATCCATGGCCCCGAGGTGCTTCCTGAACCTGGTGAAATGGTCGTGGATGATTTTGTGGGGTTCCAGGATGGAAATCGAGGAAAGGATTACAACCTCCGATCAAGGCAGATGGATGGAATTAATTCGGCCAAGGAAGGATAGGATCTGGATACCAATTTGTTAACAGCAAGGGGACAGGAACAGGAAGAACAGAGCATAGGCGAGGAGAACAGCAGAGGCAGGATGGAAGACGAATCTCAGGTTCAGAGTTTAGGATTGTTTGATACAATAGTCATACCCATCTATGGGACAGAGGCAACACATATAGGATAGCAAAACACACACTTACTCTCTAACTGGGCTCACTTGTGACCCACTCCGGCCCAAATACTTTGGTACTATTTGTCTTGGCCCTCTTCATTCTTCCTCCCGCCTCAGCTGAAGTCGACGCGCCCTGTTGCTCATCCGGCGCCGGCCCTGGAGTCAGAATCCTGACACTCCGATCCTCCCGCAGGTAAACGGGGCAAGCGGGGTGGATTGATTGATCTGGACACCCAAAAAGTAGAATTTTGTCCGCATCCTCCTGGAATTTCGATTGACAGGAGCGGGCGGGTGGCTAGTGGTATCCGGAGATTCCGCACTGGTGCGACGCATTCGCCGCACGCGGTGCAGGTGCGGGAGCTTCCCGGTTTGCAATTTGTGATACCGGGGTTTGCCTTGCCTGGGACCGGGGACGATGCTGGATTTTGGTGGGTGGTCTCGGTTTCGCAAGTTGAGACTAGACATGCAAAACATGGTGCAAATTTCCAGTTTGAAGTGAAAACTATGTTGACCTCAAAGTTTTTTTTTTTAATTTCACTTTCAATCAAGCTAAAGGTTCGACGACCACAACTTTGGACACCATGCCCGACCGCCGATACATCGACCGCAACTAGCAGCATAATTCTAATTCCTTTCCTTTTTTTTTCACAAATTCCAATTCCTTTCTGAGAAATATAGGTTCCATCCTTTTCTTTCATACTCCGTAATTGAGAAGATGCGCCAGCTTTTCTTTGATTGCTGAACACTGACACAAGGTCGCAGCAACAGTGATGCCCACAAAAAAAAGGTCACAGCCACAGTGCACTAAAAAAGGGAAGTGCTAACTGCGGCCATTTCTTTTTCTTAACACCAAACAAGAGGCGTTCCTTTTCTAATCTAAAAAAGAAAAGAAAATATATTGAGTAGTACTTAATCCATCCCAAATTGTAAGACGTTTGACTTTTTTGACACCAAGTTTGACCACTCGTCTTATTCAAAAATTTGTGTAAAATATCACTTCTTTCGTCGTGGTTTGGTTTATTAATAAAAATTCTTCAAGAATGACTTAAATTTGTCTATATTTGCACAAATTTTTTTAATAAGATAAGTGGTCAAACTTGGGACAAAAAAAAATTAAACGTCTTACAATTTGGGACGGAGAGAGTAGTATTTTTTGAGGCCAAAACAGCTGCCTGTAACAGAGACGGAAACGGAAAAACGGAAGCAAAAAGCAGTCCTGTGGTCGTACTACATACAGCAATAATAAATTACAAAAGTATCAGGTCACTCTCGAAGTCGCCCTGTTGCCTAGTTGACCTGGCGACCTTACCCAGATGCAACCCCCTTGGGCCATGTTTAGTTCGGCGGAGTCGGCGCCGCCGGATTCACTGTAGCTGTATCGTTTTGTTTTTATTTGGTAATAATTGTCCAATCATTGATTAATTAGGCTCAAAACGTTCGTATCGCAAAGTACAACCAAACTGTGCAATTAGTTTTTGATTTAATCAACATATAGTACTCCATGCATGTATCGCAAATTTGATATAACGGGAAATCTTTTTTTTATATAGTGTCAAAATTTGGATTTTGGATGAAACTAAGCATGGCCTTGCTTTCTTCTCCAGCTGGGTGTGGACAAGCCCGCTGGTTCCCCTCCCGCGTTTTCTACTCTGCTGTCTGATCTGCTCCAGCCTCCAGGCCTCCACCCAGCACCTATAAATATGCGCCTTCAAATCCGCCATTCCCACAGTAAAAACCACTCCAACACAATTCAAGCAGCACCAAAGGCAGCCACAACATCCTGCGCTCAAAGAAACTTGAACTTGAAGTGATCAGAACAAGATGTGCCAATTCAAAAGGGAGATGATCGCCGAGTCGTGCTCCGCGTGCAGCTCAGCCTCGGCCTCGACATCATCGGAGCACCACCAGACGGTGTGGACGTCGCCGCCGAAGCGGCCGGCGGGCGGACCAAGTTCCGGGAGACGCGGCACCCCGTGTTCCGCGGCGTCCGGCGCCGTGGCAACGCCGGGCGCTGGGTGTGCGAGGTGCGCGTGCCCGGCCGGCGTGGCTGCAGGCTCTGGCTTGGCACCTTCGACACCGCGGAGGGGGCCGCGCGCGCGCACGACGCCGCCATGCTGGCCATCGCCGGCGCGGGCGCGTGCCTCAACTTCGCCGACTCGGCGTGGCTGCTAGCCGTGCCGGCCTCCTACGCCAGCCTCGCCGAGGTGCGCCACGCGGCCGCCGAGGCCGTGGAGGACTTCCTGCGCCGCGAGGCCGCCCCAGAGGACGACGCGCTCTCGGCGTCGACCTCGACGCCATCGTCCCCTGCCAGCGACGACGGCAGCGCCACGGACGGCGAGGAGTCCTCAGACTCCTCTCCGGCCGCCGGGGTCTCGGCGTTCGAACCGGACGTGTTCAACGACATGAGCTGGGACTTGTACTGCGCGAGCTTGGTGCAGGGAATGCTCATGGAGCCGCCGCCCGCGGTCATGGAGTTCGGCGACGCCAACATCGTCGATGTGCAACTCTGGAGCTACTAGAACCGATGTCCTTTTTCTTCCACTTGGCCTTTGCGCCATTTTTTTTGCTGTAAAGGTTACTTCTTTTGGCAATGGGACGGAGCATGTTGAGAAAACAGAGCCAAATTGAGCATGCCCACTCGATTTTCTAAGACTAGCAAAAAATATTCAAATTAAGTTAGTGATTGTTCAACGCCTCACATACCATGCTATGCACTTGTTGAATTTCCACGCTTTGTTAACTCAAATCCACAAGATCTCTGAACCAACATCTGCCGCCCGGAGGGGGAGATGGAGTCCCCCCCCCCCCCCCCCAACCCACCAGCCCGCCGGCTGCCAAACCGAGCCGCCGCCACCCAGCCCCCCCAACGCTCCACCTCTACAGGAGTGGAGTGCGGCTACCCTCTCTCCCCACGACGCAACACCCTTCTTCCCCGTCGGCAACTCAGGGCGCTCCAAGACCATGCGTTGGTCGGACGACGCCACCTACTCCGACTACGAGGCGAGGCCGAGGCCGCGCTGTCGGCGAAACCATCCTTCCTCGGCGTCGTCCGCCGGGGCTCTCCGGCACAGCAGGCTCGGAGGCGGGGACCACTTCCCACCGCACACACTGTGTTGCCGAGACGCAGCCGGCGGAGATCTGTCGGGGAAGACGCGCGCCCTCCCAGTAGCGTCGCAGCGGGCAGCGCAAGCGAAGCCTGTGCGCCCATCCGGCGGGTTCGGTCGGCGGAACCCCTTGGGTGCATCCCGCCCAGCAGCCGATCGGGCAGCCGGGTCGACGGAGGCGCGCATTCCGGCAAGCCAACGCTTGGCGCCGACGCGAACGCGTACATGCACACCTTCGCCTCGTCCCCCGCGTCCCAGCACGAGGTCGCCGACGGATCTCGCCACCGGATACGGAAGGTGCTCTCCAGGAAAGCGGACGACCTCAGCGCCACCATCACCAACGAGCAGTGGGTCGCGAACGCCGGCCATCGGGCTCCCCGCCGTCGACGGATCCCCGACGCTGTGGGGGATATACCCCCGGGTACCACAAGATGGTACATGGGCCGCACCATCCGAGGTGGCCCGGCCTGTGAGATCAAGGCGTGCCCGGCGCTGCTTGGCGTGCACCGCAAGACATTGTAATAGTACCAAATAGGATACTTTACTTGTAACCTTGTCCCTTCGGAGTATATAAGGAGGGGCAAGGGTCCCCTAGAGGACAGATCCATACAGATCATACAGTATACATTTTCAATACAATACACCAAAGACACAGGACGTAGGGTATTACGTCGATCAGACGGCCCGAACCTGTCTAAATCGGTGTCTCTGCGCCTTGTGTCACCATCTGGTTCCTGATCACACGCATCCTACCGATAATCTACCACCACGGGCACCCCCCTCGGTGGACTGCCGACCATATTTCGTCGACAGTGGCGCGCCAGGTAGGGGTCCCCTTTAGGGGTGTGCGCGCTGATCCATAATAAACCAGATGGGATCTCAAAGTCAGCATCACGTTCTCGGCGGGATCGTTCTTTGATTCTGTACGAGAATTTCTTCATCGTCGTCATCTGCGGGGATTCGGTTCCTCGCGCACGCCGACCTGCGGATCACCAACTCAAAGGCTTAGTCCGATTCTGTGGGCAATCTGCCTCGATCAAGTTCGATCCCGGCATCCAGTCTCCGCCGACTCCAAGGCTGATCGAGTTCGACTCCGACTAGCATGCAAGACCTAACCCTGTCCCGGGTAAAGACGTCATCGCAGCGCTACGGCCAAGGAGGAGCCCGGACAATCACCGACGTAGGCAATAAGCATCGGCCATGCAAATTGACTTGCATGTGATCATGTACGTGCGTATACGTGCACAGAACTGCTCCTGCGACTACGACCAGATTCAAAAGATCCGATCAAGACTACAACGCCGTCTCCATCTCCAACACGGCAGTCGAGGTTTCATCGATCAAGACTTTCTTCTTATTACGAGCAAACAGGAAGCAAGCAAGACCAAGGCATCTATGGATATATGCATGCATCGTATACGGGTATATGCAGGTGAACGTCATGCCCATGCAAGGAAACAAGGAGCCACCGTACTATGTACAGAACCATGCAACCAACGAAGCATATATGTGGTATACAGGGTCATGCATTAAGGGAGTGCGTATATATGTATATGTCACCGTTTGTTGCATAGCATCTGATACTTCGTACAAGTCCAAGTTAGATCACCACATCCAGAGCAGCTCCGCCGAGCTCCGACCACCAAACCACGTCGCAATAATGATCGCCGCAAAGAACGGCGCTACGACAATCGCGACCACAGTCATGACGACAGGTCGAAAAGCTCGAGGACAGGTCGAAAAGATGCATGCATGTATTACGACAAGATCCAACACTGTGCCGACGTATGGGGAGGAGTACAAATCCGCAGCGGCAACAACTCTCGAAGATCAAGACCTCAACGTCATCGTGGCTCCGACATTGGCGTATCAAGCTCCAGCTACAACACGCCACAGGAACGGGAGTCTACTCCGATCCGGCGAGCTTGGCTTTGGGTATATATTGCCGCCACCGCTACCGTATCGGGATCCATCAAAGATGCTACGAGACTGAATCGACTTGCATGGAGCCCTACACGTTGCCTCCGTGTCCTCAAAACGAGGAAGGAATCCAAATTCGCCAACGACGCCACTATGACGACATTAGCACCACGTGTGGGAAGGGAGCCCCGGCTGGTTCGTATGCCAAAGTGGATATGCTGGCTGCTGGAAGTTTTCTCCAATCAACAACAAGCAAACCACGAAAGCCGATCGTCGACCTGCGGATGTCATACGAATCAAATTGAAGTAACCAAGATACGCAGCTTGCATGCGCTATACGGGTCTGCATGCATGCAAATAGGCAAGCACCGATCTACAAGGGCGCATGCATGTGCACGTGTATACATATACGTACGTGTGCATCATGCGGCCGCAACCAAGCCGAGCACTGTCAATTCATTGCATCTTGTGACAAGCTCTCCAGCGCCGACGTAACCGCCGAGATGATTTTCCGAGGCATCGAACAAGCTCTCCGACTGCATCAAGCAACCATGCCCGTTCAACTACGACTCCGCGTGCCTGTTCGACTGCATCGAGCCATCAAGCAAGCTGTTCGAGCCGTTGGGGAGCCGCAGCGAGCCATCAAGCAAGCCACGCCCAGCCGCGGAGCGAGCCGCTGAGCGAGCCACGCCGAGCTCCGACCACGTCGACCACGGATTACGTCGACCACGTCCCGAGCACCTCCGCCGAGCTCCGACCACCTCGACCACTAGACCACGTCGCAATGATGATCGCCGCGAAGAACGGTGCTACGACAACCGCGACCATCGTCTTGACGACAGGCCAAAAAGCTCGAGGACCGGACAACTTCATCGCCAACGACACGTCAAGCCATCTCTCGAACATCGCAACACGCCGACTACACCCACCGGTCGTCAATAAAGCTAAGTATTATTTTTAATTGAAATTTTCTTCGATCATCATATACCTCCGTCGACCACCCTTAGGGTGCGCTCCGCGTCGAATTTTCTCCATACATACAATTCAAAACATGTATAAGTTTTTACAATGGTTCGCCGATACGTTTTCCTTCCTGCTTGAGAATCCCAGAGCCGGCACTGTCTCCGGCTCCACCCTACGCGTGCATGAGAGTCCGCCCTCTGCGCTACGGGTAGTCGGCAGTCGCTCCCTGGTAACACTGGCACTCTACGCGCGGCAGCGTTCCGTACCTCGCGCTACGAGATGTTGGTCAGCCCAGGGCTGGCGCATTCTTCAGGACAGGTTAATACATCGCGCTACGCCACTACATAACAAAAGGGCTAAAACAGCTAATGTTATTTTTCGAATATTACACCAAGTATGATTCATCGCCAACCGAACACCAAGTGTTTACTTCACCTCCTACAGAGAGGTCAATATATTTCGTACATCATCATGTACTACCGCTCTCCGTGTTTATTTTTCAGGAACACAGTTCGGTCAGCGAGCTCATGCTTCAGGGTTTGCCAAGACTACTATGGTGCTCGAGGACTCTGGCCAGACCACGCTCGTGCTCGGGGACTTGCCAGACCACTCCGTGCTCTGGGACTTCTCGCCAGACCACTCCGTGCTCAGGATTCTACAACAATAGCAAAAGCAACAGTCTGTCATGTAGATCACCACGTCGAATTTCCAAGACGACGCCCTGTCTCCACGAGATGACCAGATCCGATCTAAAGCCCAAGTATCAAAATTAGAGCACAAGTTGGACTACAACGCCGTCTCCATCTCCAAACACGGCATCGACGAGGAATTTCCAAGTCAAGGTTTCGTCGATCAAGACGTTCCTCTTATTACGAGCAAACAGGAAGCAAGCAGGGACAAGGCATATATGGATATATGCATGCATCGTATATGGGTATATGCATGCAAACGTCATGGCCATGCAAGCAATCAGGAGCTACACGTATTCATGTTCATGCATATACGTTGCATATTCGGCCGCGCCTCTTGCTCACTCGTGGCGATGCTCGGCAACCTCTCGCGCCCGTGGACTACGGCATCAGATCAACACGAGGCAAAGCAGGCAAGGATGTACGACAACATTACCATGAAGCCGACGCAAGCAAGCAAGGCCAAGTATGCATGCATATACGCATGCCATATAGCTCTACGTCAATTTCCAAGAGCCAAGCTTGATCAACACACAAGCCAACGACGACGACGAGTACTCCAGCAGCGGCAAAGGCTGCTCCTACACCATCGCCGACCACCGAACTGCTTGAGCAGCCACATCGACCACGGACCACGTCGACCACGTCCCGAGCGGCTTTGCCAAGCTCCGACCACATCGATCACCAGACCACGTCGCAATGATAATCGCCGCAAAGAACAGCGCTACGACAACCACGACCACCGTCATGACGACATGTCAGAAAGCACGAGGACCGGACGACTTCATCACCGCCGACCAGATTTCTATCCAAAGATAAGTACACTTCTAATATTTATATTCA